AATATGTTCTTTGGGTAGTCATATGGAATCCTTCATTAGTATTGAGTTCCAATCAACAAGAAATCACAAGAAGAGACATTCTGCCACTGTTGGTTAGCTTGGACTACTGGACACCAAGGCGATGAGATTACAAAGTGATCTGCACGTTGTTCACTTTAGCAAAAAGATGTCTGTTGAGACTTTCTCTGAGTTTGTATAGTGTTTCCATTCCTTGCTCAGTAAGGAGGAACTTTCTTTTCTTCTAAATATGCAGTTTGAAGTTTTGATCCAGTGACAGTTAATCAATGGGTATTAAAGAGGCAAAAAGGAAGCCAGATTCCTCTCAGGCATAACTGGCACATAATCAATCACACATTGATTGGTTCTTGTACAACAAAGCTCCAGGATCTTTTTAATCAGTAATTATGTTTGACCACAAAATCAGAGATTCTTTAACTAAAGTATGACTAAAATAAACTGGTGAATTGAAACTACCACTATGCTGCCATCCTTTAAATTCCCTGCTTTTAAAATAAATTTCTTATTTTCTTGTTTTTCATATTATAACTTTTTGCAGTGCTGGGGATTAAGCCCAGAACCTTACAGATGACAGGCAAGTGCTCTTACCACTGAGCTATGCTCCCAGTCTCCTAGCTTAATAAATATTTAATTTTAAATCCAGACATGGTGGCACACACTTATAATTCCAGAACTCAGGGAGCATGTAATTCACAACAGGAGGATCACAAGTTTGAGGCTAGCCTGAACTATATAGCAAGACCCTGTCTCAAAAAGCAAACAAATAAAAAAGCACGAATAGCTTGCTTTTCTTTTTAAAAAAGGATATAAATAAAATAAATATAAATATCTCTTTAGTTTTACCTTGGTTCTTATGTTAACTTTTATTTTTGTGTTTTGCAATGAAAAATAAAGGAAAATGTCAAATATACTTTTGAGGAAATGCTTCAAGATATAATTTTTAGACTTTAGCAAATGGGCTAGAAGCCTCTTTTTAAAAGGAAATATCTTGTGCTAATATCTCTTCTTTCTTTTCCTGATCTAAGTCAATCTGTATAGACAAAGAAACCTGAGCTATCAACTGTGTAATGAATGCAGTCTTCCAACTTTAAAAATGAGGAGAAATAATATAAAGATGGGTTAAAGTGACTAGCCCAATTCACAGAGATCATGGCAGCTTCTAGCACACACCTCTCTTCTTCCAGACCTTTAGCCTGTCAGAGCTGAAGGAATTCTGAGGCAAGAAACTGCTCTAGTGTAGGTCATTGAAGAAAACATCATGGAGGAATTAAATTTGAAAAGAATGAAGCATTTACTTTTTAACCAAATTTTACTTTTCCACCAAAATAATGCTTGGAAATTTGGGGAATCCTGAAAAGTACAAGAAAAAGTAATGAGGTAAATTACATATATCCCATCTCATAATTGTGGAGAGCAGATTATGAGAACTTGACATAAGCACAGTTGCACTCAATGATCTACAGGCTGAGTTTGGCATGGCCCCAGCTGCAGAAGAGGATGAAGGCAAGATGCAGCACAGCTGCTTTTCCTAAAAGTTGTTTATGTTCAGAGATAGAAGTAGGAACGCAGGTTTCTCCTGTTACAATGTCACACCCCTCCTCGAGAACTGGCACTCCACCTCCTTGTTTACTACTGTATATAAAAGACTCGCTGAGGGAGGACATGAGGCTTTTTGATGGGGGATGGGTTGATTGCTTGGCTGCTTGGGAGAAGTGGAAGTTATGGCCAGGGCGGGGACTGAGATTAGAAGAAACATGGGACAGTACAACTCTGAGGAAGGACCAAGACTTTAAAAGGGAACATGGGACAGTGCAAGTCTGAGGGCCAAGACTTTAAGAGAGATTAAAGAAAACATGGGACAATGTGAGTCTAAGGAAAGAGACTTTAAAAAATAGAAAAGAAGAAAGACTTTAGAAGTATGGTTTTAAAGAATAAGAGAAAAGAAGCAAAGTAAAAGAAGAGTTAATAGAAAAAAGAAGTAACGAGGCTGTTGTGCATTTCCATCTAAGCGCCCAGCACGCGTGGCCCCAACTTTCTGCATGTCTGTCCTCTATCCTTGTCCTTTCTGCATTTCCAGTCGCCCCTCTGCCCCCACCACCCAGTTAGATCAGTGGACCAGGAGCGAGAGAAAGCTCACTACACATAATTACAGTGCTACTGGTGTATTTTTCTGAGGTCTTTTTCCCTGGCACATTATTGTTTTGCTCTCCTTGTGATCATACTCTTTCTTAAGGAACAGTATAACTCTTAACCACCATACTGCATATCCAAGTGTCTTATGAATATATAATATTGTTCTCATTAGAAATATATTCTGAAAAATGGAAATAGATAGCAAACAATATCTCATTTCTGATCTGAGCAAATAACTTGTTATGTGTTGAATGTGAAAAACAGTCTACCCAAATATCAGAATGGCTAAAAAAAAAGCATAAATAAATAAATAAAATCCCCTTGATCCATCTAAAATGTTTAAAATTCAAATATGTTTCAGGTTTCTCTAAAATTTATTAAAAATAGAAGGGAGAAGCTGTGTAAATTGCAGCTACATGAATAAACTCTGGATTCTGAGGCTGGATGAAAATTGATTATGCTAAAAGTATTATTCTACAATTAAATGAAAATTGTGCAGTGCACTTTAGTCAGCAGTAACTTACTTTAAGTGGAACCAGTAAGTCTTTGGTGTATCTCATTAAATGAGAGCTCAGCTGAGGTTCTGTTTTACACAGCAGTCATATTTACATATGGACTGCTCTAATTTGAAACTGTAAGAAAGGTGATACATCCTTCTATAACTCAGATGTACACACCATGAAACCTTCTCGTGCTTTCATTCAGAAGAGTTGTAATATGCTTTAAATTCCAAGCAACTCACACTACGGCAATGCATCGCCCAAAGTGGTTTAGGAAAGTCACTAAACATAAAATTCACTTGGTAGATTTTTCTTCACTTCTGCTGCAGACAAGTTGAAGCTGATCTTTAATTGCTTTAAAGAGGAAAATGAGTCCCCTGAAACTTTCTCCAAACTCTTCACTATTTAATAAGTTTCATTGTATTTTTTTAAAAGGAGGGAAGATAATCTATTCTTGGTTTTAACTTTATTGTTTATTTATAAAAGCAAAGCATGTTCATTATAGAAAATTCATTCAGAAAATATTTTAAAAGTGCAAAAAAACAACAAAAACATCGCCTATAATCCCTTTATTCAAAGACAGACATAGTAGCATTTTATTTACCCATTTCATGAAATCGTTCTATTTGCACAATTTTATATTCTACCAGAAATAATCATTAAAAAAGAAGTTTTACATTTTATCCCTAACTTGGCCTGTACACTTGGTGAGCATTCCATGTGCTTCCAGCAGGCCAGACAAGAATTGTCAAGTTGCCTGCTGCTGTGAGCCAGAGGGATGGAACCAATTTCTGTGGTAGGGGGGAACATTCCAGGCCTAATAAAGGAGGAAATATAGATGTATTACTTACTTAGAGTTTGGGATGAATCACATTGGGCTAGCCCTTATTCCCAAAACACTTGCATCCAAAAGAAATAAGGTTATGGCCATCATTCAGAGCAACTTTGAAGAGTGCTTATTTCAAGACAGTCAACACCAAGGCAGACCAGGAGGGTTAAAAGGAGAAGGTTAATCTCAAATCGGGTTGATGAGTGTTGACAAGTCATAGGATTTAGAATCATAGAAGTTAAGATTTTCAGGTAAAGGATATGAATCTCAATGCCAGACTCAGGTGTTCAAGGAATACCCTTTCTTTGTTTTATTTAAAGAAAATAAAGTGGTTTCCAAGACTGAATTCCAAGGTAACTTACCCTGAGGCACAAAATCTGGAAGGTTTATATAGTACCAGAAAACAAGGGCAGAATCTCTCTTCTTTTCTGTCACGGTGACTGTTAACATCAAACCCAAAGTGGTTTCTGGAAATTCAGGTTCTGCCTCTTTCCCCGCCATGTGAGGATCAGAATTCAAGCCAGCATCTATCCCCACTCCCTGTCACACTCAGTCATGCTTTTATGCCAGGCAGTTTGCCAAGGGAAAAACCTAAAAACTGAGCACCAGTCTTCTACTAACCATAGCCCACCCTGTGCATTTCTTTCTCTACTTCTGAGACCATCCCCTATCTTTTAAATTCTTTAAGACACACACTTCTTCCTCTTCCCTTTAGCCCACCTAATGTAGTCTCTTCAGGCTTAAGAAAATAGAATCCAAACAAGGGCAGCTTTGGTAGAGAAATTCTGCTTCAATCTAGGAACCCATACCTCCCTTGAAATAAAGGAGGACCAGTGGCCTGATTTCCTTTGTAGGATATGCATGGGAAAGTTAAAACAATGCCAAGTAGGTGGTATGCATTTCATGGAAATCATACTTTGAATTTTGACCGTTCCTGGGCTAGCAATATGCAGTAGGACATTCTCTCTCTCTCAATGCTGAGCAACGGCTAGCTATACTTGCCAGTTAGCCATGTGACCATAAGAGTAAATGCTTGTGGGTTAGATCCCCAGCACTGCAAATAAATAAATAAATAAAAGTAAATATCTGTGGGTTAGATCCCCAGCACTGCAATAGATAGATAGATAGATAGACAGATAAAATAATAAGAGTAAATACCTGATACTCTACTGTGTACTAGGTTGTTAAGATATGATGTTCACCAGGTTAGGTGTATTAATATAATGCATTTTCTACTTGCCATATTTTCAACTTACAATGGGTTTATTGGGACATAACTCCATCACAAGTTGAGGAGAACCTGTATCTGAATTAAGTATATATGATTCTCATCTTTCAGATGGTAGTGACTTTCAGAAAGTCACAACTGATTGATTTCAACACTTTGACTAATGTGTTCCCTCCAGAAGATCTTTGACCAATTGTTGGATGTAGCCAACTTAATCACTTTCTGGGAACAAACCAGATAATTCAGCATGTTCTTTTATCTAACTGTCTTTGTTTTTCCTGCCTCCTAGTCAGATACAGAGTTTTGGGATAAGATGCAAGCAGAATGGGAAGAAATGGCCCGGCGGAACTGGATATCTGAGAACCAAGAAGCCCAAAACCAAGTCACAATTTCAGCTAGTGAAAAGGTAACCAATTCTGTTCTTAACATGCTGACCAGTTTCCTCAGTCCCTTCAGATCATATTTTATGGATGAATTAATAACTGTTTCGTTAAAAACCTAAGAATTAAGGAAAATTTAATGTCAATCTGACCTACAAGAAATTTGGATAGATGGAAACAAAATACTCATCCAATGTGTGAAGGCAGCCACACTGGAATCAAATGCCAATTTTTATAAGTGTTCAAACAGCTTGGAAGCCAACTAGCACTTGAATCCTAACTGCTGGCCCAATATGGAACTAACTAAAGTTCAGAGTGGACAAGAACTGAGCTAGTCCCACAATGCTTTGCCATTCAGTCACTTTTGTCCTGTTGACATGTGAACAAGAGAAGTGATATGAATGACAAGATAGTAGAATGGGGACTTAAAGTGTATTTCACAAGTGGTCATTACACAGCTAGCAAAGCATCTCAGTACAAAACATGCTGTTCACACAACCAGGTCAAGGATACTCTGTTGACAGGAGCCCCAACAAATATACAAATGTAGTGAACAACCAGCTAAGTTACCCATGAAGTCACAGTTGCTATAAGATCTATGCCTTTAAAAATACTTGGTGGGGGGAAACATTTGTGGGATTAGTATAAATAACTTGAAAGATAGAGAGATGTGGAAGTGTCCTGCACAGAAAAAAAAATCAGATAAATAGATGTGTGGAGAGTGGATTATGAGAAGCCTGTGAGAACTTGACATAAGCACAGTTGCACTCAGTGATCTACAGGCTGAGTTTGGCATGGCCCCAGCTGCAGAAGAGAGCAAGGGCAAAATGTAGCACAGCTGCTTTTCCTAAGTTGTTCATGTTCTGAGAAGTAGGAGCAGGTTGCTCTTGTTACAATGTCATGCCCCTCCCTGAGAACTGTTGCTCCACCTCCTTGTTCACTACTGGATATAAAAGACTCACTGAAGGAGTATGGAGGATTTTTCTGATTGGCTGGCTATGGGCTGCTTGTGAGGCTGCCGTGAGAATGACCCTGCTGCAGCTGAGTTATGCTAGAGATTAAAGGGAACATGGACAGGGAAAGTCGGAGCACAGAGACTTTAAGAAAGCTAAAAAGAGAACATGGAACAGTACAAGTCTGAGGGCCAAGACTTTAAGAGAGATTAAAGAAAACATGGGACAGTGTGAGTCTAAGGAAAGAGATTTTAAAGAATAGAAAAGAAGAAAGACTTTAGAAGTAAGGTTTTAAAGAATAAAAGAAAAGAACCAAAGTAAAAGAAGAGTTATTAGAGAAAAGAAGCAATGAGACTGTTGTGTGTCTCCATCTGAATGCCCAGCACACCTGATCCCAACTTTCTGCATCCATCATTTGTCCTTTCTGCATCTCCGATTGCCCCCAGTTAGGTCAAGAAGAGCAGGATCTGGAGAGAAATCTCTCTACATAGATGATAGATAGATAGATAGATAGATGATTAATTGGTATATAAATAGACAGATAGATGTAAGTTTTTCTCATGGTTTGGGGTAGAGTCAGTCTCAAAAATATCCATTTCTGGATAATTTGCATGATATTTTGTTCAATGCAACAACTACTTATTGAATACACTCTGCACTAGGTACTGGAGATATGATGATAAAAAGTCTCTGATTTTAGGGGATTTACCATCTACATAGTCATTAAAATGTCTCTTTCCTCCCAATAGTCTCTGTCCCTCAATAGACCAGGAAATCTTATAACATCAGTTATTAAAAATAGCTCATTTCCACAAAGAGACCAAAGCTAGATAAGAAGAGAGAGCACTGACACAGATCATCAGACAATGGGCTATAATCCATGCACCTAGAACTGGCTGGGACCCTGTTTCCATACTGCCACCACATAAGCTAATCAGACCCTGTGACATTTGATAAGTGTTTTGTCTTTCTAAGTGCTTACAGGAAAGAAGGCCTCCATTTGGTGTACTTTTAAACCTTGTAATATCTTTAACAGGCTAGCTTATTTGTATCTATCAAATTAGAAGGATTTTATAATAATCTAGGCTAGCAAATTGCAACATAATATTCTCAGATACTACAGATGAGAATATAATTAAAAAGCAACTCAGGAAAAAATTAAAAAAGCAATTCAGCTACACGTATAAGGGCTTACATATACTCCATAGTCTTTAACTTAATACATCCCACTAGGAGATTATCCTAAGGTAATAAGCAAATGCAAACAACTGTATATGAAGCTTTCACTATAGCTTTACTTATAATACAAAAATATAAATAAATCACATATCCATAAATAGGGGATTGGGTGATAAATAAATTTAGCATATCCATATAAAAAATCTTGATAACATAAGGAATAATCACAATATAAAACTAAGTGAGGCCTAAGCTGCAAGACTGCATATGAGCTTTTTTGTTTAATTCAGATATGCATGAAAAATATTAGGTGATTATTTGTACATTCTGTATTGTTTAAATTTGTGCAATTAAAAAATCTGTATCTTTAAAACGTGCATTTTTCAATAGGGGTTATAGAGCCTCCAATGGGACAAAAACTTGCTCCAAGTGGGAGCGAAAAAAATCTTAATTATTACAATGGTTTGCAGTTCTCCAAAGGGCCATAGTAGCTAAACAGATGTACAGAATGTGATGTTAACATATCAGAGAGTTGGGTAGTAGCACTTAGCAAAAATATGTCTAAAGAGTCAGCAACTTTAAAACCCTAGGGAGAAAGAGTGAAAACAAAAAGAATCAAAAGAAATATCAGAAGGATAATAAACTCAGGTTGTGGAATTCTGGGTAATTTTTTGTTTCTTTTTATGTTATTCACTATTATCTAAAATTTATACAATGAAACATACTACATTCATAATAAGGAAAAACAGTAATTTTAAATTAATAAATAATCAAAATAAGTAAATTACATTAAAATTTAAACAGATTACATTGAATGTAAGAATGCAGAGATCAATGGATTGTGCAGTGGCCCTTTTCTATGTCGTAGGGATATTACTTTCACACTGAAAACCCCTTCAAGGACTGGCCTGGAGCATTTGAGGAAGGCTTGAAAAGGCTGAAGGAAGGGGACCTGCCAGTCACCATTCTGTTCATGGAGGCAGCGATTCTTCAGGACCCTGGAGATGCAGAGGTATCATATGTCCTTCATTCTCTCAGACTCAGAAAGTGGCCTGGTGTGTTGATGGGACAGGGAAACTACTAGAGGACCCTACTCAAAAGAGGCAGACAGCTGGACACCAGTGGCCCTCACCTGTGATCCTGGCTGCTTGGGAGGCTGAGATTGGGAGGATAGCAGCTGAAGATCGGGCCAGGCAAAATAAATTTGCAAAGCCCCATCTCAATGGAAAGAAGCTGAGTGTGATAGTGCACCAGTCAGCCAAGCAACGGCTGGAAGCATAAAATAGGAGGCTTGCAGTGTAGACCAGCCTGGGCAAAAGGTGAGACCGTATCTCCAAAATAGAGTAAAAGGGCTAAAAGTGTGGCTCAAGCAGTAGAGTGCCTGCCTAGAAGCACGAAGTCCTGAGTTCAAACACCAGTACCGCCAATAAAAAAGAGAGACGGGGGCATTCAATTCTCAGGCATTTTGGAAAAACTCCTTTCTCTTTTCTGAGATGGGAAAGGTGACTGGAGACAGACACTGGGAGACCACCAAAGAGCTCCCACAATCCTATTTTAGTCTACTAAATTTCTAAACCCATGAAGGCCTATAATAAGATAGCAGCAATATAAAGATTTCACTTTTAGATTGTGATTGATTTTTAAGAATCATTTTATAATGTGTATTCCCAGAGGAATTTGGAGTAATTTTAGCTGTATATGGTGCTAAGAAGACAATATAGAAGAGTGGTTAAGCTTCCAAACAGACATGGGTTCAAATCCCTATTCTATCTGTTAGCCCTGTGACCTAGGACAAGTCATTTAAGCCCTCTAAGTTTCATTTCCCTCATCTGTAAAAGTGTAATTCATAATAATAACTATCTCCTTGTGTGTTGTAAAAATTAAATTAGCTCATACAAATAAAGTACTCAGCTCAGCACCTAGCACATCAATACTTAGCCCTTCATTCCTATAATCGATTGCACTTAGTTTGTATACGGAAGAGTAAGTAAACCAATCACTAAAGTCCCGAAGTATCCTGTTCATCAAAAAGGTTTTCTTTTCATACTGGATGGGGTGTGAACCTATGGCCTCCCACTTCCTTTGCAAGTGCTCTAGCACTTGAGCCACACCCAAGCCCTGTTAATCAAAACTAAGAGCTGGAATTCTGAACCAAAAATATTTCGATTTTTAAAAGATATATGAAATAGGAATGTCCTCTTACATTTGTAAATACTATATATTTTGCAAAACATTTTGTGTATATTATATTATTTGACACAACAGCTCTGGGAAGTTAAAAATAAACTATACACTGTTATCCCAAATTCATAAATGAAAAAATTAAGGTCTCTGTTAACTAATGGATCCCAGGCAAGGAGTCAGAGTTTCCTAATTTATGGAAATTCCAAGGCAATGATAACGATGTTGTAGACAATGAAAATGACACCAGGGCCAAAGGCTAGGAAGAAGGCTGCAGAGAAAACACTGACTGATCTTTTTGTAAAAAGCATTCAAAGATTAATGAAGGTAAAATCAAAATAAAGGCTGCTTTATGTTAAGAATCGCCAATATTCTGGGGAATTAGTATTTTTATGAACTTATATGGTGTATTTCAGGCTGTGCATCTTGAGGTTTTTTACATTTCTAGGTTATTTTTCTAACCCTTCATAGTTGTATAATTTTACACACTTATCTTTTGGTTTTAAGATACCTAATATCATGAAATCTCAGAAATTCAGAGGCTTCCATACTACTGGGTTATAAAAAGGGGTAAATAGTAGATGGGTTTGGAAATAATGACAGAGGATTTTGACCTAAATGTCACAAGACAATGTGGAAGACGAAATGCATTTTAGGTAACTCTCACATCTAAATCAGATTGCTCTGTGTAGGGGAGCTGCCACAACAATCTAGCCAGCTGATGCATTCCAGTGATCCTGCCTCAGTCATGCAGTGTTAACGCGTGCTGTTTTTTGTAGGCATGGCAGTTCCTCGGGATAACCCAGGCAGAGAATGAAAATGAACAAGCAGCCATTGTCGCCCTCCAGAGGTAGGTGGAGCTAAGTGCAAAATCACAGGGCTGGTGGACTCTTGTCATGTGTTTCTGATTTGTCTTTTGACCCTCACTGAAGTACAGTGTGAAGAATTTGGCCAGGATAAGCACTGGAATGCCACATCACAGCTATACTTACCTCTGGAAAACAAGAAATGGCATTCCTACATCACAGTGTTTTGCAATCTGCACATCAATTGATGCTCACTAGCACCAAAGAAAGTCTATGTTGAAAGCAGTCATAAAACAGATTCATTAAATAAACAGCTCCTTTTAATTTTCTAGCCTTTTGAAGCAGCTAAACATTTTCTCCAGGAAAGGCATACTCAAAACACTGACTAAAGAGCTAAACTACTTGAGGTGGGGATATGAAAAGAGGGGGACTATAGAATCGCCCACTTATTTGAGTCCCTATTTAAACTGTGGAAAAATTGTTTTATCAAGTAGACTTGCACTTTCACTGCCCTTTCTTTTAAGTACTTTTAATTTAATGCTATAGAAAGAGAATATACATGTGTACATATATTCAATATATTATATATAAATGTGAATATGTTTGGATCTATATATGATCTGCGTGTGTATAAATCCTAGAACTTTGGAATCTTAGAATGTGAGAATTTTAAATCCTTGGAATTCTAGGGCTTTACCTTGATAAAACCCTAGATTTTACCATTCTTTGGTATCTCACTGCATAAAGTGCCTGGGTATTATTCTTTCTGTAGAGCCATTTCCTATAGATAAGAGAAGTGGAGATTAGGGAAGGTCAAGGTCACACAAATAGTATGTAACATAGATATTAAGCCCTCATCCCTTGACTCCAAATCTGAGACTCTCTGGGTAAGTTATTCTTAACCCTGCATAGGCATGCACCATTGTGTGTGTGTGTGTGTGTGTGTGTGTGTGTGTGTGTGTGTGAGAAAGAGAGAGAGAGAGAGAGAGAGAGAGGACAGCCCAGGCACACCCGGAAATTATGGTTTAATTTGTTGGTACTGAGGAACCAAATATTAGTAGTTTTAAATTCTCCCAGGTGTTTCTAGTGCACATTCAGATTGAGAACTTCTCTGCCCAGGCATTTTAAACCACCTAGGGCTTGCTACTCAGTCTTATCCAGAGACTATCAGCATTATCATCAGGCTTGTCAAACCTGTGCACCCTTGGGCCCCAGCCTAGGCCTACTGTACTGGAATGTACAGTTTGCAAAGTCCCCAGGTGGCTCATATGCAGGTGTAAGTTTGAAAAGCCCTTGCTGGAGCCCAGTGGAATATAGTGAGGAGGAGCAGTGACAGCCTGTATTTCCTGTAAGCCCATATTAGCAGTCTGGAAACACAGGAACTTCCCTCTCCTTTGCAAAACACTGTACAGTCTGCCATCGCTGGATGTCCAAATTTGATCCAAGTCCAATTTGGGGGTGATAAAGTAATAAAGCAGTGTTTAAATAATGATATCCCTTTCATTTCATTAGATTGACTACTAATAATTTTTATGTAGGGATTAGCCACAATTCCTATAAAAATGGTAAAAGCCATTTATTAAAATTATTGAAACTGGTAGTTATCAGGATGAGTTTTAATTTCCTTTGAAATACTGTTTGGCCCTGATTTTCATGAGGAGAAATACGATGCTTTCCAGGACTTGACATAAACAAACCTAACAATACTTTTGCAACGTTTAATTAATAAAGATTTCAGCTTTCTTAAAGAATGTTTAGAAGCTGACTTCAAAAACATCCGAATTTGTTTGTTTGTTTTGCTTTCTTTCAAGATGCTTAGAATTGCAGCCTAACAATTTAAAAGCTTTAATGGCTTTGGCTGTTAGTTACACAAATACTGGCCATCAGCAGGATGCCTGTGACGCACTAAAGAATTGGATTAAACAAAATCCAAAGTACAAATACCTTGTGAAAAGCAAGAAGGGATCTCCAGGACTCACTCGAAGGATGTCTAAGTCTCCAGTTGACAGGTATCTTTCTCATTATCTCATTATTTTATAGCAAGCAGTAAGCACCCACATACCCAATTGATTACCTTAAGGGTAATTCATGAACCTCAGATCTCACTCCAGAATAGCTTTTCTTGCAGCATTCTGCTAAAAGAACATCAATGAGTAGAAAGACTGATGCTAAGATCAAGGCCATTGTATTAATGGCCTTGTCACAGCTTTCTATTGCTGTGACAAAAATACCCAAGTTAATCAACTTATAAGAAGGAAAGGTCTCTTTTGTCTCACAGGTTTGAAGGTTTCAGCCCATGGTCATTTGGCCCTGTTGCTTTTGGGCCTACAGTGAGACAGCCCCTATAGGTGAGAATATGAGGTGATGGAAGCTGCTTACCTCATGGCAGCCAGGAAGCAAAGAGAGAGGAAGGAGCCAGGTTCCACTATCTCTTCAAGGGCTTGTTCAGTAGCGATCCAACTGCCTCCCACCAGACCCCACTTCTCAAAGGTTCTACCACCTCCCAGTAGCACCACAAGCTGGTGACCAAGCCTTCAACACATGCCCTTTGGGGGACATTTATCCAAACCACATCAGCCATCCTTTAGTCATATGACCTTCATGATGAGCACTAACGGACATTTATCTGGTACCATGTTTTAAAGCCCAGTGTTTTGAACATACGATTCATCTAAAGTATAATAAGTACTGATGTTCCATGTTTTATAAGCCTCAGGAATGGGCAAATGAAAGTCCTTTCTTCTAGGAATTTTGTTCCTTGACAACAACAGATCCTGATGCTAAACTTTTTCTCACCAAGACTCTGAAAAACTTAGCTGTGGTTTCTCACCTTGGCACACACACGGTTGGTGGAACACTCCTTGTGAAGACTCATGTGGCACAGTCTGTATCTGTATACAGCAACGTTTTTTGTGAAAGCTGTTTTTATTTGCTAATTCAGTATTTAATAGTCCTGTCATTAAGCTAAGGTAGTTTAAGCAAAATTTTCCAGTCTATAATGATGAGAGACTTGAAATAGAATCAAGAGTTTTAGTAGCCAATCATTTACACTCAGACTACTTCAAATACAAATCAATTCTTTTATAGCTCTGTTCTGGAAGGAGTGAAAGAATTATATTTGGAAGCTGCCCACCAAAATGGAGACATGATTGACCCAGACCTACAGACAGGTCTAGGGGTCCTGTTCCACCTGAGTGGGGAATTTAACAGAGCAATCGATGCATTTAATGCTGCCTTAACTGTTCGGCCAGAGGTAAGAAAGCCCAGGACAGACAGAAACCATGAGATTCTCTGTAACAAACAAGTTTGCACAGGCTAGACTTTGTCCATTTCTTCTGTACTTTATTTCCCTGCTCCAGTGATTCAAAGTGATTGTTTCTAATGATATACCACTGTGGCTGGTAACACTGAAATATCTAAAATAGAAATATTAATTCCATGTCAGCATCAAATGGTGACTGCTCTTTGATGAATGAAAGTCATTTCACAAAGTTATCCATGAAGATTGTTGAATAATTTATCTCACCATGGTCCCTTCCTTGAGCACTGAATGAATTTTTAGCCATTGTCCTTCGTCTGCCAAGAAATATGGGGATACCGTGTCATTGTGGCTTATGGTTGTTAGCTCTCATTTTTGTCATCAGGACTATTCATTATGGAACCGTCTTGGGGCGACCTTGGCAAATGGAGACCGCAGTGAGGAAGCTGTAGAGGCCTACACACGAGCACTGGAGATCCAGCCAGGCTTCATCCGGTCCAGATACAACCTGGGGATCAGCTGCATCAACCTGGGGGCTTACAGGTGAATTATGCAACAGGCAAAACCCAAAAGCAAGCTTAGGACTGAGGCTAAATAACTTGGAAAGGTTGTTTACAAGTAAAAAGCATTTCCTTTTATAGGAGTACTCACCTCCTGCCATTCAGGGTAAATGTCCCTGAGGCCTGATTAAGCAGGGACCATATGCCTCTCTGCCTCTCAATCTGTGGAGAACTGCAACCATTCAAGCATCTTGGGAAATACAGATGCCCGGGGCCCTCTGCTGCAGATTCTGATTCATCCACCCTGGGTTAGGACAAGTTATCTGGTTTTCCAACACCCTCAAGGGAAACTTTTGTGAAGCATAAGTAATCTACTTAAAGAAAAAAAGTAATCTCAGGACAGGGGCAAAGGGACCTAGCAAAATGACTTCATCAGGTCTCAGAATCAGTGTCTTAGTAAAGCAAAACCAAAAATCCAAGTTTTCTAAATTTAATATACCAATAAAGTTAGTAGGAAAACAAAAATGAAGAATGGTGTGTTTCTAGTTTGAAATGCTTTTCTCACTTTTCCATGATTCAACATTGTTGCTCAGGTCTGTGTCTTCTCTATCTTTTCTCATAAACAGAGACCATAACTGACCTTTATTTCTTTTGGGTAATGAAAGTATGGGTGACTTTTTTTTTCTTTCTTTTTCTATTTTTTTAATTTTTTAAATAAACAGGTATTACTTTCATAATTAGAAAAAAGAAATGTAAATATTAATTCAAAGCCCCACAAAACAATGTAAACCTTTTTGCATTCTCAGAAAGAGACAGGTTTTCCTAATCAGATAAGTTTGGCCTCAAATCATAGTTGTAGGCATATAACTTTGAGCCTCAGTTTCTTCATCTTTTGTATATGTTAGAGAGAGAGAGAGAGAGAAAGACAAGGAGACAGAGAGAGAAAGAAAGAAAGAGAAAATGAATGAGAAAATAACTGTCTTGCAGGATTATTGCACAGGTTAAAAGTAATTGCCTAGCATGAAGCAAATGCTCAATACTTAGCAAGCATTTATTATTAGGACAGTTGTCATCACCAACATTATTATTACTATTATTTTCTTAGATAAATCATCAGAGAGCTACATAAACTAAATTGCATTCTTTTGACATCTGAATAATTGTGATTTCCAAACCGCATTTGTGTATTAGCAAATAGTGAGGCCTTAGCAAATAGTTGTTGCCTGAAAGAATCTTATAAAGAACATTAGCCATTGGATTACACCAGGTCCTCTAAGGAGACTTTCCTCAGGTCAAAACCAAGAATAGCTGAGTGATTCCTGAGCAGGTAGTTTTGTTTTATGGTCTAAAATGTGGCCCTGCAGAGGCCATCTTCACACCAGTTGTGAAAAAGCCCAGAGTTGACACTGGATCACTTTCCCACACCTCAGCTACCTGAAGGCTAGTGATGTTCATTTGGTATATGAACCTCATTCCTGGTTTCATCTGATTTTCCTGACCTGATTTTCTATTTGCCTTTTTTTCACATTTTTAGTTATGTTATGTATATGTATTTTATGAGCCACCTTAAGTCCTTTTATTCAAGGGGAGATGTAAATAAAAACATACATACATGTAAACATGTTGAGTTCAATTAAAAGAGGTCTTTCATAAAGCTCTGCATTAGTTTTTCCTAATTGTAACTTCTTAGTCTAGAAAACAATACTTGTGGACCAATAGAATACTTTCTTAGCACCCACAGATGTAAAATTCAGCAGGGCAACTGTTTGCAATAGACCAGGACAGTTAAACATTGGCAACTTTATTAAGTTTTACCTCTATTGCAGTACAAAGTTTAAATCCTCAAGCATAAAGTCTTCCATACAGGAGTAAGTCAATTTTAAATTTAAATTTGAATTTCAGGTCCAAAATCAGAAGGCCCGATCTGTTTAACCTCTGATGTGGGCCTTCTGGCATAGGCAAACACAGCAGATGTCATCACGTGACAGGACTACATGTGAGAGATGTCACATGTCAAAATAGGAAGCAAGAGATATCAGGGAAGAGATACCAGGCTTGCTATTTTATAACAACCCACTCTCATAGGAACTAACCCACTTCTCTGAGACTCAACCCACTCCACAAGATCGGCATTAATTCCTTCCTGGGGTGTCCCCTCCAGTACTTAATCTCTCTCCTTCCACTGTGCCCCACCCCTTAAAGATCCACCACCTCTCAATACGGTTACTTTGGGGACCATGCTTCTAGCACATGAGCCTTTGTGGGACAAACCATAGCATTTGGTTACCACCAAGTCATAGTGAAGTTGATGTCATGGCCTGTGTAATAGGACTGTGACCCATAGTTTTGTAACTGTGACCAGCAGTTTCAAGTCTGAGTTGTGCTAAAACTTGTGAGTCAGAGATTGAGTGGAAAAAAAGCAGTGCTTAAAATCTGAGGTCTTTTAAGTTTTCATTCATTCATTTAGCAAAGCTAATGATTTTGAAAATGTAAAAAAGAAAGAATATAAATAGTTCCTCGGAAATAGTGCTTCTATTAAAATCACAAAATCAAAACCATAAATAGGTAGATAGATGATAGATAGATAGATGGATTTGAATTTTCAGAAAAAGAACAAATAGTTTTTAGTACAAGTATTTCCCAAATATTGAATGTGATGTACTAGTTCTAAGAATTACTCATTGTTCATCTGAAATTCAAATTTAACTGTGCATCCCAATTTTTCATCATGATTTATCAGATTTTTTGCTAAATCTGATAACCCTGACCAATTGCCTACTTTGGAATATCTCAACTAAGCTTTATGGGGATCTTGCATTGTCATTCTAAATGTGAGCAATTTTGAAAAATGATAGTTTCTGGTTTTTTATGTGGGGGAGAAAAGACCAAGTGAAACACAAACCTTAAATGAATTTTGATAAGAATTTTCACTTGAGATATACATATATGCTTAGGAAATAACCCTCAATTCAGATATAGCTCAGAAAAAAGCCAGAAGCCAGTACAAATTGTCCCATACTCACAAAAGACCTCTCTGTGAAGAACTGCAGGTGTCTGTATGCAGCTACAAAGGCAAGCCCTGCCCTAGCACTAAATACAATGGAAATAAGGAAAGGAAATGGTTGGTGTGAAACTTGGGTGAAGCTTACAATGTTTCATCTTTGCCGATGGGAGCTCAGAGTAGAACTTAGAAAATGAGGAAGCCACCCCTTTGTAGTGATGTCTTTAGTATTAGTGTAAAAAGGGAAAGCTTCTGTAAAAGGAGTAATGCTTTTCAATGAATGGAATTTTTTATTAAACAGGACAGTATACACAAACAACTTGTTATTTATATATGTGTGTGTGTGAAACACTTGAAAACTATTAATCCAAATATATACACAACATTCTGAGGTCCCCAAAAGGACAAGTTGGAGAGCAATGTTAGACTATTTTGATGACTGACCCTCAAATAGCTTGATCGGTTTATTAATTAGACTGTTCTCTTACTCTCCAAATCCCTCTGAAGCTACTGCTACACACTTGGGCTGGGAGAGGCTGGTGAATGGGGGGATTCCAAGATCTTCCACCCCTTGAGTTCTTACAGGTCAGGGCTTATGAGCAGAAACTGGGAGGCACTGTCATTGGAGCTGCCACCCTGTGAAGGAGGCCAGGAAGGACCTCTTTATCCCTCCATTTATAAATTCTCTTCTCTTGCTTGAGGAAGAGTGACAGGGACACCCATCCCATCCTTTGCCCAGCTTGCTAATACAGCATGACCATTTCCCCATTGCCTTCACTTTACAGACAGACTTATAAACAAGCACATCTTAGATCACGAGCACTGGAATCAGAAATCCAGCCCCACTTTCAAGGTCTCTTATCAGATGCTTAATACCCCCTTGCAGGATTAATGAGATCAAGCGTGAGAAAAGTTTTTGAGAAGAGTAAAGCAGATACAAATTAAAGTGGCATGATTATTCTTAGCAAGAGTTAGAATGTCAGATGCATAACAAGGTTGGAATGACAGAGGAAGGGCAAGTGCATGAGTACACATTGTGTCTGGGCACAGTCGTGGGCTTTGAACGGCATCTAACTCATCTATTCTCAACCTTTGTGTTCTCAAGATTGCTTTACACTTATAGCAGTTATTGAGAACACCAAAGGCTTTTGCTTACGTGGATCATGTGTATGTGTACTTTATTATATATTTATATGTATATGGTATTAGAAATTAAACTGACACCATTTTAAAAGATTCATTTAAAAATAATAAAACTCATTACATGTTAACATAAATAACATATTTTTACAAGGAAACAATTATTTTCCAAAACAAAACTGTATCTAGAGAAGAGTAGCGTTGTTTTTTACTTTTGAAAATGTCTTTAGTATCTTGCTTACCAGAAGACAGACTCTTCATACCTGCTTCTGCATTCGAACTGTTGGAATATCTCACATCACATAGTCTCCGGATATTTCCACAGTATGTGGTGCAAAAATAAAAGTGAAAAGGTCAAGTGACATCTCAGTTTTTTTATGAAAATAATTTTGACCTCATTGAACCCAAGGTTCCCCAGATCACATTTTGAGAACCATTGATTGTAATAAGAACTTTCACTTAAATTGATTTCATTGCACTTCACAACCAAGTTTTTAAATGATTCCTATTATAGCTGTAATCAGTCATATAAATCGCATCTCAAATGGAGTAAGTCTTCAACTCATTCCAACAGTAGGAAAAACTCAAATGCATTAATGAGTTACAGTTTTGCTATTCTTATTCCTCTCCCACTGACATTCCTAAAATAAAATTGCCTTTTCTTTTTTCTGATCTCACTACATTTAACAATGATTGCTCACAAAAGAATAATGAGAGAATCAGAAAGTTGTTTATGTGATCATGCAAAACAGAAGAGAGGAAGTTTAGTATTTTACACTAAAATAACTTAGTCTGCTTTTTTTTAAAGTTTGCTAACTCTGAAGTTTGTTGCATTTTAAGATGTTTGCTTTTCTCCCCTCTTAGAGAAGCAGTCAGCAATTTTCTCACTGCCCTCAGTTTGCAAAGAAAGAGCAGGAATCAACAGCAAGTCCCTCACCCTGCAATCTCTGGGAATATCTGGGCCGCCCTCAGAATCGCACTGTCTCTGATGGACCAACCAGAACTCTTCCAGGCAGCTAATCTCGGCGACCTGGATGTTCTCCTAAGAGCTTTCAACTTGGATCCTTGAAGGAAAAGGAAATAATAATAATAATAATCCCTTACTTGTGTTATTGTACTGCAAATTGAAAGACTATTTTATTATGACTTTCAAAAAGGATAAAACAGATATTCAAAAGGCCATGATCATATAACCCAAGGGAATTAATTCCTACAGACAATGCCCAATCTCTGTTCAGATACAAAAGCACAACATGTTGTTTATATAGTCAAGGTCAGGTTCAAAAGAAGAAAGACTCAAGATAAACCAAGATAAAGTAACCACATGTACTCTTCACAACGTACAAGTGTATTGTAAAAATGGTCTTTGTTTTTTGTCCCCAGCCACAGCTGATGGCACATCTGAGGAACTTGTTCATGGGACACTTGAAGAATGCACTGCCTCAGATCAGGGAATTCAGACTATTCCTAAACTGTCCCTTGAAATTCCCCTTTTTGCAAGACTGAACATAGTTTGGGCCATTGGTGCATGCATACATATTAACTAAAGACAGGCATTGCTTAAACCTGTTCCAGTTTTAACTTTTCCTGTAGCCTTTGTTTCCAGAGAAGGAGCTTTGCTGGCAAAAGCAGTTTTTGCACTAGAAATTTTTGCTGTTCCCAATCAGAACTTTTCTGGGATTGTATATATGCACTTTAATATATTATTTATGCCTTGCTGGAGTTTTGTTTTGTTGCTCCAATTTTTAACTTGGGGGTGAAAGATTTGAGAACTCAGACTTGTTAGATCAATGGACCAAACAAAGTTTCTGGAAAGTAGTTTTTCATAGTGTAGGGTTTTGAAGGAGTATTTTTCCTAAAGCAGATGTGACATGGGATGTGAATGTGTCAAACACAGATCTTCTTATCCATGTGCTTTCTGGAACTGTGTGAACTTCAGCAAGAGACAAAATTCAGTCTCTTCATGTATTCTCTCTGCAGGGAGACAGCTTGATGTGACCATGGTTTCTACTGGGTTTGAATTAACTTGCTTGTCACATTTTACTGGCTTTCTAACTGCCCTGCACAACAATATTCCTCTTAAAATGTTCCTATTTAAAATGGTATTTCTTAAGAGTGATAAATACATTTTTTCCTAAAAAATGACGTGTTTCCTCAATTCCATATGAACCTGCACAGCTCACCTTCTTGCACTGTAAATGAGAGATCAACATTTTATAACTGGACCTCGCTCACTATCCATGGTTTAATATGAAAGACTCAGGCCCCTTTGGCTCTTACTTTGAACATTTAGCAAGTAATCAGCTCTTTTTTGGCAGTGGTGTTTTACTTAATTGGTTATCATCCACTCAGTACTTCAGAGTATTTTGGTGATTATTTTAAAGATACATTTTTTAACAGAATTAGAAAAAGCATTTGCAAAATGCTAACCAAGATACCATTTCACCTAGTTCTAATTCTGTTAAGTTAAACTACTCTTCTTCACTCTGTCTTCTTCCTTCCTTTGGAACATTCTCCAAAGTTGTCTGATCCCAATGTCTTCATGTTCTTTGGTTAGTAATAGCTCATATTATACTTAGCAAAATAAATAAATAAATTGAGTTAAAGCATTAAGCTGGTGGGGGAATTGACATCCCATGAGGGGAACTGCACACACATGTAGAGTGATTGGACTCTGGGTGTAGGGGTGTGCATCCTCTCCTGTTACCTTGGAGTCCCTGGGTTCTGACGGGGCCTCAACTTGATATGAAACTGTAAATCCTGAAGCTTATCTGTATTATAACCTATTCCAGATTATAAAGACAAACAGATGAGCGCACTGTGGAGTGTGCCAAGTTTTGCCAGTCATTGTTAAAACTTATTTGGGCAGGGCACTGTCCCTGGCTGGACAGCAGGAGGCAAAGGCAGTAAGGCATTCACTTCTGGGCATGAGTGACAACCCAGTTTGGGCCCACATTTCCTTATAGTCTGAGCAACAAAGTAAAGCTCAACAACATTTTCAAGAATGACATTCTTCAGAATTCTAGGAGTTAGAAACTCAGTCTGTGAAGGACTCTTCGGTCCAACCTCTAGCCCCTGGCAGCACCAGCTTGAATATTCCTAGCTGTTCCTTCCTCCTCCTAATCTCTGTACACGCAACAACTGGCCACAGTGGGCTTAAATCCATCAGAGCCCATTAGTAGCCTATGAACAAAGAATTCAAAGCAGATTTTACAGGTATTTTGATCATGATGCCCTTAGACTCTTAGCTGCAAGTGAACTTGGAATGCTAACATACTGCATTCTCCACCTTGCAGGCTCTCCATACTCAGATCAGTAATGACGTAGTGTCTGAAAGCAATGCACACATAGAGTAGTTTGCTTTCATTGGATTGCTGCTAAATGGTAGCAATTTTGTGGCCCAAGTTTATTTTGCTTCAATCTCCAGGCAGTTGTTTTAAGGAAGAGTTGACAATTTTCCATTCCTCCATTAGTTGGCAATTTTCAGAGCATTTGGTGGGACTTTCTCCAGTATATCTACTAGTGTCCATCAAAACTAAGATTTTTTTGTAGGTTATTGCCTGTCAAGAAGTCCTGCCTAAAAGGAAGAATTGCATTTTTCAATAATGCTTTTATGAAATTAAGTTAAACCATTACTAAAAGAAGAGTAAACTTTGTGGAAAGAATACTACCAAAAATTAAATAGCAGGACTTCAGTATATTCTTTATTGTATATATCATATGCACTTTTTTAGTGTATACACTATTTTTTAAAAGCAGACAATTTTGGCATCTCATCTTCATGGCAAGAAATCGTCATTTAAATGACATTTCATTTAAAAGCGTAAGGTGTCCTTGGTTGCCTTCTGAGGCTCTCTGAGAAGGCTGGGACTATTTATGAGCAACAACAGGCCTAAGAGCTCTTAGGGTATGGCACTCATTTACTATAATGACCTTTCAGTTGCACAGCAGGGACTTCCAGCGACCAACTTCACCAGTAAACTGGATGAAAATGCAGAGAAAGCCAGTGACCTGCTGAGTTTCAGTATGTAACTATTTCTGGTAGACTGTGTCTGTGTGTTGCCATTCCTCAACTGTAGGAAGAGATGGAGGGACAGCAGGGAAGAGGCACAGTAAAAGATCTAACTGGGCTAACCTCAGTGATTCCCTGTACTTTCTCCCAACGTCACCCATGCCTCACCAGGAAACTTCACTAGAAAACTGTGAGGTAAGTGTGTGTTCTCAGCCAATCTGGATTTCTACTAGAACAGGAAATGAGTGATGCATATTGCGGTACGTGTAGAACACACTTTCAGAATTTTATATTGCTTTCTTTTGTATTAAGGTAACTATTATATTGATTCTTGTGCCCATATCTAAATTCATGTAGAGATAAACCTTTCTCGTTTGTTCTTGCCATAGTTTACCATAAAATTTGTCAGTTAGCTCCTGGGGGATAAAGAAAAGCAAGATGGTCATTTTGTGTCCCTTCTTCATTTGCCCCCGAATCAGTTCCACAGCACTGGACTGTACTTTAAAGTAGTCATCGTAGTGGTGGCAATGGTTCTTTTAATCCTTGAAATGCTTCTAGAAGCATCCTGAAAACAGGGTATTCAGCTTTATTTCATGTACCATCTTTTTGAGCTCTCTTATTTTAGAAACTATTACACAATTTCAACTTTGCAAAGCAATTTAAAATTCATTCCCTATTCAGATTGTATTGCAGTTTCTCATCTCAGTATTTATAGAGCTATTTGAATTAAACTGTTTTGATGTAAGAAGTAGATACATATATATTTTTAAAGGGTGTTGTGATGAATTCTGATATAGTTTGTAAAAAAAAAAGGCAATTTTTTAAAAAGTAAAACATATAACCTCAGGTACAAAATTACTGCATGCAGTACTACTTACAAATCTGTCTACTCAAATATTAACCAAAGCATGCAAGATAACTTTACTGAATGTAAACTTACACAGTGCATGACTAAGTCTCATAGGTTAGTTTATTTTTCCTTGCTTCTGAAGAGAGCATTTTCATGAATTTTGTGTTTCGGTTTTTCTGTTGCTTTTATTGTCCTATCTTTGAGATTTTCACACTGAACTTAGCAGATACTCACACATCTTGTTTGTGCAATTTTACAGCCAGTGCCAAACTAATTCTCTGAAGAATCCAGGTACAAACACCCACATGCTTTCCTGGAAAAGCAGTTTGCACAGCAGAGCCAAAGGGAAACAAATCCATGTGTTTGAATGCTAAGTTAAATTATATGTTCATTATCTCTGCATAAAAGGTTTTGGGCTCTAAATTCTTAATACTTAAGAACATTTTAAGTTTAGAAACACTGACACTTTAAATACAATGGGGAGGTTAATGTTGGACACATGAAGATTATCACAAGGCAAAGGAGACAAGGGCCTTAATTTCCATAAATGTTACAAAGATGACAAAGTGTAATATAGGGTTTTGTGGGATAGCACAGCATTGTTCTGATATAGTCCTATTTGTAGTTATTTGGGCCTTGCCCCTTGAGAAACTGGATTTGATCCATCAGTCTAAATTTTTGAAATCCCAGGGTATGAGACAATTTCAAGGTCACTAAAATTCAATTCCGAAATCTCGCTGCCTTGTTTTGTTACCCATATTTTATAAGGAGATTGGAAGTAAAAAGAGCTCAGTAAGACAAGGGGGTCATATGTTAGTAATAGTTTCAGGACCTATTTAATAGACCCCTACAGCACTTCCCACACACAAGCTCAAAGAACTGAAATCCCCCACTCCACACACACACCCAGCAAAGACAGTTGTGTGGAGTCACTGAACAGTGAAGAGGGGAAAAAATAGAAAACTAAAGTCTGAAGCTTAACAACCTCTCATGTGGCATTTTGTCTCACACAGACTCCTCTACTGCAACCCTGCAGAAACACCAAAATAACATACTCTGGAGACAAATTTCCCAGTCTTGGAACTGATTTCTCAGGACCTTTTCTACAAGAGAAAACTAACTTGCAGAGTGGGACACTTTTAGAATATCTGCACTGAAAATAATATTAACATAAAGAACAAAAAGCAGTTATTTGTTCAATAATAAAATGTGCATGCTTTGGTTTTGGTTTTTCTTTGAATTTTTTGGACAGGGAAATGCTAGTGACACAAAAAGTTCTAAGGGGTATACACACTCAACTAGGTAATTTGAGCATTTCACATTTTCACTAAGATACATAACATTTTTTATGGATATCATAAAAGGATTACGTCACATGAAAAATGTGTTCATAGCTGACTATGCCACCTGTAGTGAAAAGATAAACAGCAAATTTAAATTTTTACTAACTTTTCTTTAATTTTTCCCAGTTATCTGACCCAAACCCTCCTCTATTTTCATTGCTCAAATTTGTTTACATTGGTTGAAAAAAAACTGATTAACTTAGTAAACTTTTTACAAACTATAACAAGCATTTACTATTTAGAAAAACACATTTCTATATATTTTGTATATCTATGAATATTGCATATCTAGTCTATCTAGAAATATCATTTTGAGACAAATTCTGTAATGCTTTCTCATCGTGCTCAATAATGTACAACATCTTGGGATTTCATTTTCAAACTGAAATAGATAAAAAGAAAAATTAACTTTTAAGTGTTTACATTTAAATTAATACCAACCCAAATTAAGTGATCTGTAGTAAATTAATGGCAATGGGGGCGATTTATAAGTTATTAGCATACTGTATAATACTGTATCTGTGATCTAGTGAACCAGTGTGAGTGTATCCTAGCACAACTCTGTTGGGTACTAAGGCTTCAGCTCAGTGTTTCCCTGCATTGCTTTTTGAAATAAAATCACAACTATGAAAATAACCTCTTATCACACTGATGTGTTTCATTTACTCAGATGGCTATAATATGCAAAGTACCAAGATTAAGGTAGTATTTTTGTACTATTATTGGAAGCATGCCTTCCCTTTTTCACATTATTAAGTTGTATTTATATTTGTGCAGTTCTAGACTATGTTTTCAAATAAACTTTGTGGCTTAAAGGTCTTTTCAGGAATCTTTCAAAAGGGGATTTGAGGATCAGAATTGCTTCAAATCGAGTAGAATACAATTTGTATTACTGGTTAAAGGTCCTTTTATTGAATATTACTGCATATGATTTTGCATGAGTTATCTGG